CATGTTTTTCCAGTTGTAAATAAAGCAGCAATAAACATGGGGGTGCAGGTATCTTTTTCAATCAGTGTTTTGTGTCTTTTGGGTAGATGAAGGTACAAAAACTTTTAAGATTTATTTATGCATACAGAACTGGGGTACAGACCAGAAGTATAGGGGTTGAAAGGATTCACCAGTGACAAAGTGGGGAGCAGAACAGGCAGATTGACTGAAATACACTGCTGAGGGGAGCAGCAGATGGGTCAGGAGAGGTCTGCCATGAGAGACACCTCCTTAGACAGGGATTGAACTCATGCTGCAGTGGCTGCAGATAGCTTTATAGTGCTGAGAGTTTTCCCCAAAGAGGGCCCCCAAAACATTTTAAAAATAAATTAATGCTATAAAAGATTGACAAATTTGCCTATATTAGAATATAAAATTTTCATAGAAAAATATAACATAAGTAGATGAAAAGAGAATTGTGAACTATTAGGATATATTATACCTCATACAGACAAAAAATAATGTCTTATGCTAATAACAATTGTCAAGTCCATAAATAATAAATGACCTGCAAGGAAAATTATCTGAATAAACAATTTACAAAAGAAGGAACTACAGTAGTCCAAGAATGAAAAGTTTTCAACCTTACTAGAAATTTCAACCTTACAAACAATTTACAAAAGAAGAAACTATAGTAGTCCAAGAATTTTAAGTCTTGCAAGTACAAATTTGTTGCATTCATCCAATATGCAGTTGTGTGAAACTTTCCTGCTTCAGTTGCTGTTACCAAGTTGGATCTCCAGTTGACTATCTTGGGCTTATCTGGGTATACATGTTGATACCATATAAATCTTTCCATATAAATAGCTTTTGGTGATTTGTTCCCAGCCTCTGTTTATCACTGGTTTTGTTTGATGTCCTTGTGTTTTTTGTTTTTGTTTTAGTGGTGGCTCCATTGTGAAGGCATTGAAATTCAAGGAAATACACACACTGTGCTAGTATACCACTGTCTTCCCAGGGTTCTTAATAGTTTTGGAATATTAGAAATACACTGCTAACTCTAAAGTTTATTCTCCTACCTGATAGAAATAGTGGTTAGATACTGCCATTTTATGTCTGCCATTTTGGTTCTCTTCTACCAACAACATTAATGAATTACCATTCTCTCCAGGTGAAAGGGAAGTGCCTCACAACAGCCAACAATTTATCATGCTTTAGTTAACAGCATTTTGGTTGATGACAGCATACAGTGAAACATTAAATGACAACTTAAGTAATCATACTAACTAGTTCATATTAGCCCTTGATCAGTACTAATGTATTACTAATAGTCTACAGCCTAGCTAACTAAAACAGATTCACTTGCTATTTCAAGTTTGAAAAAGTGGAAAGATGAAATGCATGAAAATGACTTCTAATAACTATTTGAAAAAAAAAAAAAAAAAACTGAGTTAAACAGATGGCCAGAATTTACGATGAACTGTTTATAAGATTGGGTGGAATGATTGATGCTGTATCACTACCTGAGGGGCAAGATTGTGTTTTATTTAACTTACAACTGTGTCATATACTAGATTTTTTTTTTAATATTTGAATATTGTCACCCTTAAATGGAACTACAGCATTTTTTAAAAGGTGTGATAAAAAATGCCTTATGCTTTTCTTCAAGCTTGTGTTCTTTATAGAACGAGACTTGTTATTTTTTCCATCATGAGTTCTGTTTTCCCTCTGTGGCTGTATATCTCTGAAAATGTCTCCTTTTATAAATTTAAGCCACTTGGAATTCTCACCAGAAATCAAAGAAAAGCAAACATGTCATTGTGTGATACCATTTTTGTCTTTGAAAGCAACTACTGTCTTTTAAAAAAGACAGCTTGGTATTACTGATTATGTAATAAAACGAGCACAAGTAAGTATTGCTCTGGGAATACAAATTGGAACTACCTTTCGAAAAGCATGGTACAAACTTATGTATAATGTCAAATATTCACTGTGGTGATAGGATAATGAATAATGCCTACTATTATGTTATTTTTCCAATTTTCTGTAGTATGTATTTTTTTAATTAAAAATTATGAATATTTTGTAACTAAAAATACAGTTGTCGATTTTTAGCTTAATAGAATTCTTTCTTATTTCAGGTTAAAGAACTGAATCATTATTTGGAAGCTGAAAAGTCTTGTAGGACTGATCTAGAGATGTATGTAGCTGTTTTGAATACTCAGAAATCTGTTTTACAGGAAGATGCTGAGAAACTGCGGAAAGAATTGCATGAAGGTAAATATATACTCTGTATATTTTAATTTTAATATTTCAGTCACTGGGAGAGTTATGTAAGTACTTGATATTGATTAGTTACAATACATAATCTTTTTTTAAAAGATTGATTTATTTATGCATATAGGATGTAGGGTACAGGCCACAGATATGAGAAGTAAGAGGATTCACCAGATAATAGGGGGAGGCAGAACAAGCAGATTGACTGAAATATGCTGCTGAGGAGAGCAGTGGGAGGGACAGGAGTGGCCTGCTGCGCCATGTGGGTCATCTCCCTGTCTGGGGATCAGACTACATACAGCTCCATAGTGCAGTGCTGGGCTTTAACCCCTGTACCACCAGGGAGGGCTCAAAAGCAATAAATATTCTAAAAACCAATCCAGCACTCAGTTTAAACTTTGTAGGTGGTTTGAATATTCTCATGAAAAGTCGAGAGTTGTGAGGTATACTCAGATACTTGAATTGTTAATCTCTTCTTGCCTCTAGGTCCAAGTAATAATTTCACAAGACATGCATTCAGAACAAAAAGATAATAGGGCTAGGAATTTCTGCTGCCTCCACCCTGACTTGACTTATTTTGGTGTAGTTGAACATGGCACAGAGGGGCAGACAGTATATTCTGATATCCTTAAGTAACAACCCTGTTTTTAAGAGGGTTGTTTGTTTGTTTTTTTTTAAGTGAATTGTATTACCGAAAAATGTTATAGCTAAAATATTAACTGCAAATTTGATACAATAATAAAAGTACTATTTTATTAGTATATTAAAAAGGGCAGTTCTTACTGTAAATTCGAACTAGTGTTGAGCATAAATGATAATTAAGACCTCTTAGCAACCATACTAAGATGAAAATATGTGACTTCTGTTAGTGATGAAGTCATAGCTGTTGGCTGTACTTAATGTGATTTTTTTACCTCCATTTGATAATGGAAGGAAATGATAAATTTCAATTAAAGTTAGTAAAAATAAAGACCTAACATTTTTCTTCATGTAAATGCGCGGATCCTTGGAAACTTAAGTTTGTTAACAGTTATACTAGTAAAATTTTAACATGAAGACTTAGGACTGTAGTGATAGATCCTACTATGAATACTTTTATCAACTATTGTGGATGATACTTTATAACTTAGGTTTGCCTGAGTTATTTTCCAAATAGTGGAAAGCTGAAATAAGCCTCAGGATTGTTTCATAAAATGTTATGAAAATAACCCAAAGTTTGAGTTTGCCTTTTGTTTTCAGGAAACATTTTCAAAAGTACTGCTACAGTAAAAAACAAAACAAACAAACAAAAAACACATTGAGAAAAAAATAGTCCGTATCTGAAAAAAGTTTTCTATAAAAAAACCCAAAAAGACGGGCCCTCTCTGGTGGCGCAGCGGGTAAGGCACAGCATGAGTTCGATCTCTGCCCTGGAGGTGACCTCTCCTGACTGCCCGCTGCTCCCCTGAGCAGTGTTATTCAGCAGATTTGCTTGTTCTGCTCCCCACTCTGGTGAATCCTCTCACCGCCCCTGCACCTTTGGCCTGTGCCCCAGTTCTGTATGCATAAATAAATAAATCTTAAACAAAACCCAAAAAGACATCCTGAAAGATGTCCAAAAGAAATAGGAAATAAGGCTTAAATTCTTAGAATTTAAGCCCCCAACTCTTAGAATTAGTATAAGACTAAAAAAACTTCCAGTGATAATCTGGAAAAGTATCTGAGGTTTATTAAATTGTTTAATGGGATGGAGTAATTTCAAGGATTAGAAATGTAGTCAGGGTACTCCCTGGTGGCCTTATGTTTAAGGCATAGCACTGTGAGGCTCTCCACAGCCACTACAGCTCGAGTTTGATCCTTAGCCAGGGAGCTGACCCACATGGTTTGGCAGGCCTCTCCTGTCCTGCCCGTTGCTCCTCTCGCTTATTCTGCTTGTTCTGCTCCCTACTCTGTCTCTGGTGAGTCTTCTGACAGCCTGCACCGCTGGCCTGTACCCCAGTTCTTATATGCATAAATAAATAAATCTTTTTTTAAAAAAGGAGGCAGCAGTGCCACATCTGTGCTCCTTATAAGAGATTGCTTTGAATAGTCATTTTCCAGGTAGTCAGAGATGAACATAGCATTCGATGCCATTTGCATATATACAGAAGGGTCAAGAAATTTAAGAAATTAATTTAGTGGAACTAGATGTAAGATGCAATAAGGCAAAATGTAAGATAGGAGAGCAAAGGACCAGATTGTACAGACCTTTTACTATGAACTTTGGATTTTGCCTTTTTTTAAATGGAAGATAGTAATCTGGTTTAATAGCTGTTCATGCAAAAATCTTTGGATATTAGTTTCATTCAAATTTGACATGAATTAGCTACACTGATAGAAATAGAAAAATTAGTATACATCAATAGAAGTGTGTGTGTGTGTGTGTGTGTATGCTATTAACTTCACTCTTCTGTGGGGTAAAATTTTTTAATGTATTTACAGAATTGTGTGCTATCCCTACTAATTTCAGAACATCTTCATTACTTAAAAAGTAAATTCTGTATCCATTACCAGTCACTCCCTATAGGCTCATTTTTTTACAGCTCTTGGCGACACAAGCAATCTTTCTGTCTGTATAGATTTGCATATTCTTGACTTTCACATAGATGAGATTAAATAGTATGCAACATCTTGTGTCTGGCTTATTGGAAAGGTTTGTAATTGACAATGATACTAATTTTGTGTTTCAGAAAGTTCTATTTCACAGCATTGTGGTGGGTAGAATAGAGAGGGCAAAACGAAGTAAGGACAGGAAGAATAATAAAGAGACTGCTGTTGTAGTTTAAGGCATAAGGACTGATCTGAGGCAGAAGTCTGCAATGGCTGTGACACTGCATAGAATGGAGAATTATAGGCCTCTGTCACAGTTGAATGTGTTGGGTGAGGAAAGAGTCAGAGGTATCAGTTGTTTTATATTTCTAACTTGATTGGCTGGATATCAGATGGACACTTTTTTGCGGAGCTGATGACTGAACTGATGCGATAAATCAGAATTTGAACTGACATCCTGAGAATTCAAAACTTAAATGGGCTCATAAAGGTTTTTTGGATAACAGATTTATCAGAATGTATTAAAGACAACTGGAATGGTTACTATACCTTTGACCTTTACAACAACAGTTACCCAAGTATATTCTCTAGAACACTTGTTATAACACTGGATCTATATAATAGGTTTTTTAAAGTGAAGTAAATTTGGGAAATGTATTATATATCACATTCCAAGAGACCATATATATCCCCTAACCTCGAAGAAATCTTTTTTTTCTTTTTTTTACAAGTTTATTTTTACACCATTTTGTACAATTTTTTTTTTCCATCTCAATTGTAGTCCCCACGGGTTTCCCATCACCAAGTCACCCGTGTGCCATCACCATAATCCCATGCACTTCCCTCCCCACTCCACCCCCGCAAAATGTCTCTGGTACATATGGTTGTTCATTATTTTTGTTATTTTCTCGCCTGGTCCATTATACTCCTGCTATGAGTGAAACCATCCGGTATTTTTCTTTCTCTTTCTGGCTTATCTCACTAAGCATGATCTTTTCCAGTTCCATCCAAGTTGCTGCAAAAGACATGTGTTTCTCTTTTTTTGTTGCTGAGTAATATTCCATTGTATATATGTACCACATCTTTTTTATCCAGTCATCTACTTGTGGGCATTTGGGCTGCTTCCATGTTTTTCCAATCCTCGAAGAAATTTTTAAAATGTATGTAATCCAGCATTTCTAAAACTGAATACAGAATACAGAACTGAATACAGAAGAATTTTCCCCCCACATATTCTTAGAAACACACTTTGGGAGACTGCTTAGGGAGATGGTGTAATGTGTAAGAACAACTATCATATACTTCTTGTGAGAGGCAGAATCCTAGACAGTGTTCCGTTGGCCACACCTATGTTAAAGAGGTTGTCTACTATTAAGAAAACTCAGTGTTTTTGATTGGGGGATTCCTCAACAGTTTGCCATCTCTTGGAGCAAGAGCGACAACAGCACAACCAATTAAAACATACATGGCAGAAGGCCAATGACCAGTTTTTGGAATCTCAACGTTTGCTGATGAGGGACATGCAGCGAATGGAGATTGTCCTAACTTCAGAACAACTCCGACAAGTTGAAGAATTGAAGAAGAAAGATCAGGTGAATAGCAGTTTTGTGGAACTGCTTTCTTTGTTAACGATGCACTCCCTATGACTGTTTTAATTTATATAGCAATTATCTTAAGCTGGTACAAGATATATATATATATGCCATTCAAAAAGCATAACTGCATTTGGGGATTTTGTTTTCTAATTTTACAAATGCCCTTATTTGGGGAAAAGAACTGACTTAGAAACTATCATCTTCAAGGCTGCTGAGTTCAACAGAGCATATTTAAAAAAACATAGTTCTGTCCAGTTTTTCTGGGACACCTGAATTGTGTTAATCCATACCAGGTCATTTATGAAGTTGCTCTAAAAGCCTTATTAGATGGTGGTAGGGTGGGATGGAGGGACTGAGTGATATAAAAAGGCAGGTATAGAGTACTGCATACCCAAGACACTATTTTTTCCTTACCTTTAAAAATATTGCTTGAATTACATGCATAACACACAAGTACCATCCTCATTTTAAAATATTTTAAATACAAAATGAAGTAATGATTTACAATATATTAAATTTTTTTCAAACCCACCTTTCCAGAAGTAATTACTTTTGCATTAAAATGTAGTCTTTGGAAGGTAGTCTTCTGGATCATTTCTGTGTGTTTATAAGTACACTTTGAGGTTTTTAAAAATTACACATCTAGTATCATGGTATTAATATTCTGTAACTTAGGGTCCTTATAAGCATTATCTTGGACATATCTTCACACCAGGGAGCTCCTTAACTGGTAGCATGTATGTAGTATAAATTAGTTTAATTCTTTTGTAGTAGGTATCTAGATTGGTCCCCCTCTCTGTCTTGCCTTTTTTTTTTTTTGGTCATTTCAAACATAGTTGCAGCTAATATCCTAGACCACCTTATTCAGTAGGATAACTATGTAGAAGCTACATATTGTAAGAAACATCTAAAAATTACCATATGACTTAGGCTAGATTTTGTTTTTCTGAAGTTTCTTCTATTTAAATTTCTATTTTATATTTAATTCTGACTCATTCATCTATGTGTGGACACACCTGACTTAAGGATTTAGAATTTTAAAGTATAGATCTAATCATGCCCTTCCTGCTGCCCATTAAAGCAATCTATATTCCTATACTAGTCATTTAAAGCCTTTTTTTTTTTTTTAACATTTCCTGAGCTTCTACTATGAGCCAGGATTGTACTAAGACTTTATGTCTAAAACCTTATCTCATGTAGCTCCCAATTCACACAAACAAACAAGCACACTAAACAACAAAACCCTGCAAATGAAATAGGTACTATTGACAAAGCTGAGGCATTTGGCTCAATTTGATTCCAGAGTGTAAGCACTTAGTCACCACCCTGTTCTCCTTTATCCTAATCCATGTAGCTCATGTTCCTGCCTCTTCTCAGTGACTTCCAGCTGTTCAGCACCTCCCATCTTCTGCTCTTCTGTACCTATTTGTTTGTACATCTTTCGTTTCTTCCCAGCATCCTTACTTGTCTCCTCTCACACATCTGGTAAATCCTGCAATATCCAACTGAAGAGTTAGCTTTTTTGAGCTCCCCTTCTTGTTCTATCAGATGAAATCAGTCATTGATTTTTCTCCTAGAACCTGTACATACTTGTGTTGTAATTAAATGCACCATTGTCCCTCCCTCTAGATTGTTTGGGGCATTGAAGATAATCAGCTTTTTTTTTTTGAATTGTTGGATTAACTCCAATGATTATTTTATATAAACTTAGACATGTTTCTAACAGGAATTAAATGTCATAGCTTGTCTTGTTTTGTATGGTAATATAAAAGAGTATTCTATATAAATTTTCTTTTCATTTGAAGAAGAGGGGGTGATTTACTTATTTTTGCTTTGCCTTTCACATCATAGTGTACTTTTCTTGAAAGCTGTTCCCTGATTTCTTTTTTATGCCAGGGTTTATCCTTTGTGCCTATAGCTTTCAAACAACATGTTATGGTCATAGATGTCCTTAGATGTGATTACAAAACAAAATGTCTAGTTTTCTCTCATGAAACTCTTCATTTTTATTTGAGCAGTTAAAGCAGTAATACAATGTATATATAATAAATGAATATACATAATGAATCATTATATATGGCTTACCTGGGTAATTTTATTTATTTTGAAGATTTATTTATGCATATAGAATTGGGGTACAGGTCAGAGTAGTGGGAGGGTGAGAGGTTTTACCAGAGACAGAGCGGGGACAGAACAGGCAGATTGGCTGAAATGCACTGCTGAGGAGAGCAGCTGGTGGGTCAGGAAAGGTCTTGTCTCGTGAAACATGTGGGTCAGTTCCCTGGCTGGGGATTGAACTTGCACTGGAGTGGCTGTGGACAGCCCCATAGTGCCACACATGAACCTGCTGCGTCACCAGGGAGAGCCCGTAATTTTATTTTTATACTTTTTAATTTCTGTCTTTTAGGAGGAAGATGAACACCAAAGACTTAATAAGAGAAAGGATCACAAAAAACTGGATGTTGAAGAAGAAGTAAAAATACCAGTAGTGTGTGCTTTAACTCATGAAGAATCTATAGCCCAGTTGTCAAATGAAGAGGTACAGTGAATCTATAATTAAAATTATTATGTACATGATATTACTATCAGTAATACATTTTGAAACATGTTGCACTTTCTCTCACTGTCTCTGAAATAGACATTCTTTTCCCCAGTGACTGCAAAACAAAACAGAAAATTTTAATATCTGCAAGATTTTTTGATATGAATAATAAATGTTGCCAATGCTTGAGCTTCTCATTTAAAAAGATTATCTGAAGTATTCAAACAATTTCTATAGCGCAAGTTTAATTTTTTATTAACCATTATATGATCTTAAGGTGTGAGAACAGTGGGTGGGTGAAGTTTGAGAGATTCTGATGGAGCATTTCAAGTATTGGGTACACATAGGTTGAAGAGACTTGAAGGCAGAAAGTATAAAGTGGTACTCCTATGACCTCATCTTCTCTTACCCACAATGTGACAAGGGCATCTTCATTACCTTTTCTGTTTTAACCCTGTCCCATTCATAACCTCAAACATATTGTCACATTGAATTTTCTTAAATGTAGTCACAGTCAGACCACACACCCATTTTAAAAACCATCACTGGGCTCTCCCTTGTGGCGCAGGGGGTTAAAGCACAGCACTGAGACAGTAAAGCCACTTCAGCATGACTTCGAACCCCACCTACCCAGAGGTGATCCACATGGTGCTGCAGACCTCTCCTGACCAGCCCTCTGCTCGCCCCAGCAGTGTACTTTGTCAGTCGGCCTGTGCTGTTCCCCTGTCTCCAGTGAATCCTCTCACCACCCCTGTACCTCTGGCCTGTACCCCTTTTCTGTATGCATAAATAAATCTTTAAAAAACAAACAGGGCCCTTCCTGATGGTGCAGCGGGTTAAAGCACAGCACTAAGGAGCTAAAGCCACTTCAACATGAGTTCAACCCCTGTCCTGGAGGTGACCCACATGGTGCAGCAGACCTCTCCTGACCAGCCCTCTGCTCCCCTCAGCAGTATACTTTGTCAGTTGGCCTGGTGTGCTCCGCACTCTGTCTCTGCTGAATCCTCTCACCCCCCTGCACCTCTGGCCTGTATCCCAGTTTTATATGCATAAGTAAGTCTTTAAAAAAAAAAAACACTGCACCATGAAGCTGTTGAAGCCCCTGCAGCACGAGTTTGATCCCCAGCAAAGGGGGTGACCCACATGGCATGGCATACCTCTCCTGACCCACTTGGTTGCTCCCCTGAGCAGTGTATTTCAGCGGATCTGCCTGTTCTCTCCCCCACTCCGGTGAATCCTCTCACTGCCTGCATCTCTGGCCTGTACCCCAGTTCTGCATGCACAAATAGATAAATCTTTATTTTTTATATGTGTGTGTGTGTGTGTGTGTGTGTGTATTTTAAAGATTTTCATTTATTTATGAGGTGTAGGAGTGGTGAGAGGATTCACCAGAGACAGAGTGGGGAGCAGAACAGGCAGATCGAGGAAGTATACTGCTGAGGAGAGCAGTGGGCGAGACAGAAGTCTGTCATACCATGTGGGTCACCTCTGGGGCCAGGGATCCAACTTGCACTGAAGCAGCTGTGGCTGGCTGCATTCCGTTCCCTTCATATGTGCTCTGTTTTTAGGCACAGTGGTTGTCTCCTTGTGCTTCACTTGCCACCTAGCTTATTGTTTCCTTCCCCTGGAACACCCCTCCCTTTGCCTTTCTGAGTATTGAAATCCTTCTATTCATTCTTCAAGACTTGATGATACCTCTCCTCCAATAAAGAAGAGATATAATGCTTCTCTTACTGCCTTTGGGTGAAAACTAGTTCCCTCACTTGGCACATTGGGCCTTCACAGTTGAATGACTCATTAGCCTTCTCAGATATGCCACTGTATCATAGCAAGAGCTTTCTCCTTATTGCCCATGTGCATATTACTATTTGTACTGCCCCTGCTGTTTAGAATTTCTATTTTCCCAGCATGTGATCTGATTTCAGTTAAGCTAGATAGGATCTTTTCTCAAATTCACTGGGATCATGTTCTGTTTAGATTGCAGATTTACTTAGACCCACGTATAATCTACTTCCTGATGACTTATATTTCCCTGTTTTTGGGTTGTCTTAACATTTAAAAACTGCTTTGAAAATTTCCAGTAAAGACAAAGTGTGATGTAATTGTTTTTCTGTATCCTTCGTTTTGGATCATACACTGAGGGTCATTTCACCTGATGATGCTGTGCGTTTTTAAATAGACTTGGCAGGAGAATGTCTTAATTTTGGGGTACTGTCAGACATTATGTAGCTTGTGTAGCATGCAGTACTTTTTAAAAAAAATATGCATACAGAGCTGGGATACAGGTCAGAGGTGCAGGGGTGATGATAAGATTCATCAGACACAGTGGGGAGCAGAACAGGCAGATGGAAAAAGTACACAGCTGAGGGGAGCAGGGGGCAGATCAGGAGAAGTCTGCTGCGCCACGTGGTCACTACTGGGGCCTAGGGTTCGAATTTGCACTGTAGCAGCTGCAGCCTGCTTGCAGTGCTGCGCCTGAACCCGCTGTGCCACCAGGGAGGGCTGTACCATGCAGTTGTATAACCAGGAATGTTTGAAAAAGTTTCAAACTTAAAAAAATATATATTTTAGGGAATTAGGAAAGGGAGATTTGTTGTAATTCAGAATGAAGCATTTTTCTTACTTTTGGTTCTGTCTGAAAAGACATACAGTGTACATGAGTTTTTTTCCTAGTATTTGAAATATCTTTTAGATGTTCAGATCTAGAATTTTGTAATTTGAGTGTTGAATATACTTGTTTTTCAAAGTTATGACAGTTTATTGTAGCGTGTTGGCTTAAAGTTAATATGAGATGCTCTTGACACTTAAATTTCTTGCTAAAAACATTTAACATTTGTAGAACCTTTATCTTCTTCAGCTGGCAGAATATGCTTTTCTCATTACTTAAGTAATATATATTCATTGTAGACAAAGGAAAATAGAGAAAGGTTATAAAATGTAAAATTACTAATAGGTAATTCTGATATCCAGAGATCACCACCACTTAACATTTTGGTTATGTGCCTGTTTTTTCCCTCTTTCTGTTTTTGTTTCCAAAGATAACATTATTATTATTTTAAAGATTTATTTATTTGTGCATACAGAACTGGGGCACAGGCCAGAGGCTCAGGGGCGGTGAAAGGATTCACCAGAGACAGAGTGGGGAGCAGAATAGGCAGATCGACGAAGTACACTGCTGAGGGGAGCAGTGGGTGGGCCAGGAGAGGTCTGCCACGCCATGTGGTTACCTCTGGGGCAGGCGGGGATCGAACTCATGCGGAAGCGGCTCTAGATTCTCAGTGCTGTGTTTTAACCCGCTGCGCCACCAGGGAGGGCCAGATAACATTATTTTTATTTGTAATTTTAAAATATAATTCAGATTGTAACTATGTTTTATGGCTATATTTTCCCACCTAAGTTTAAAAGTTTTGGCAAAAACACATTCCCTAAAAATGATACTTCATAGGTTAGTTCTCTTTAATTGATTTGTGTCCAGGTTTAACTTGTAAAAGTGGTTAAGTGATAACATGGAGAGGTCAATGCCATTGAATGAAAAGTGTGACGTTAGTCACAGTTCACCTAAAAGTGAGAGGCATGTAGAGCCACATGAAAAAGCACCAGAGTTGGTCATGAGGCAAAAGCAAGAGCAAGAAGAAAGCATGAACCCAGCTGTTACTGGAATTTTGAGGGAAAAACACAAACAGGGCAGAATAAACAGCATAGGCAAGACTATTTTGAATAGTCCCATGGTGCTTCAGGGCATAGAGTCTATCTTTAGTTTCTTAGTACCTGATCCTGGGTTGTTACAGGTTAGGGGAAATACTGGCTTGGCGTTTAAGAGTTATCTAAAGGAGTTGGATGGATGAGGCTCATGGAATCAGTATTGATCGACTATTTTATTAGAAAGGCATGTTCATAGACACACTGCTTATTATTTGTAGGAGTTAGCTACCTTGGGAGGGGCAGTCTCTCCCCAGTCAGCAAGGCTCCTCAGTAGTCATAAACGTCATTAAATATAATGACTTAAAAACATAATTAACATGCTAATTAGTTAGGTAGCTTTCTTTTTCTTTTTTTATTAGTATAATGCTTAATGTACAATTCTTCCTTAAAATCATTAGAGAATAATTTGATTGTGTATTTTGTATACGTTTTTATGAACCTAAGGCCATAAACATTTTTATGGTATTAGAACATACTGTTTACAGAAACACATCAAGAATTTATGTTCTTCTTTTGCTAGAAATGTGTCCCTTATACTGTTATTAGTATGTTCTTAAAATGACCCTCAACTTTTCTGCTCAAGTTCCCTTTTCTCTCTGGTATCACAGCAGAATTGTGTATGATACATTTAGATGTTAGACTTCTTTGTAAACTAAAAGAATGTGTTGTCACTCCAGTATTTGATACTTATTTTGGGACCTTTGCCATAACTAGCTTAATAGATAGATTTGTGTTCCTCAGCCATCTGAATTTCAACAATGAAAACATGTCTTTAAAAAGAATTAATATTATGCCAAATAAGGATAAATTGAAAACATTAGAAAAAAATTCTGTATTCCTTAGTCTTTTAGTTATAAAAGGCAGCACATTTAACAACAAAAGTTAAAAAGGATATATTAAAATAAAGACTAGTTATTTAAATGGAATAAATCTGACTCAGAAAAACTTCTTACTTTCCTGCTTTTCACAGTTAGAATTTCTTACTACTATGCAACTTGTAGCTGCATTATGGAATGGCACTAGTGTGCTTGTTGACTTTGCAAATGTGCTAATTGAATGAAATTTATGTAAAATAATATTAGTCATTTATAGTTTGCATATCAGTGGCATTTGGTTTTAATTCATAGTGTTACTGCACCATTCATCTCTGTCTAGTTTCAAAACATTTTCATCACCCCCCCCCCCAAGAAAGACCCCATTTCTGTTAAGGACGCATTCTTCATTATTCTTTCGAACGCTTAGCAAATCACTAATTTGTTTTCAGAATCTCTGGATTACCTATTCTGGGCATTTCATATAGATGGAATCATAACAATACTTTTTTTGGATCTGACTTCTTTCACTGAGTACGCCACATTCACTGTGATTACAGTATACTTGAAACTTGGTTTCCAATGTACCACACTACCCTCATTTTTCCTGTTTCTCTAGCTATTTCTTCCTTTGTTAATCACCAGAATGTTGGTGTTTTTCAGGGTTTATTCCTTGGCCTTATTCTCATGCTACAGACTTATCCAGGGTGTTTCGATTTGCTGCTGTGACTTTAACATTATGCAGTGGATGCTCCCCATCTCTGTGTAAAGACTTGCATGGTCCTCTGTCAGGTGGACACTTCTCAGATATATGATAGCTACTTCACATTCAAAATACCCAACAATGAATTTTAGGAGACCTTCCCTGACTTATATGTCTGGCTGAATTCTTCTTAAACTCCCAGATCATTCATAGTGCTACTGTGTCATTTTATTAAGTATCATGTTCTAATAGCCTACTTGTTTATTTTTTTCATGAAACTGTAAGCACCTTGAGGTCAGAGATTGCTCACAGTTGTACAAGTTGTATCTTGTCCACACTTTGTATCCTGAATGTTTAGAGCCTGGCATACAGTAGAGACTTAGTTGTTCAATGGATATGTGAAGGTAGCACATTAATGATCATCCTATGTAATGTGTGGCAAAGTAATTTGAATATATGGTAGTTTTTCCTCTTTGAAAATATAGAGAATTGCAACTTGGCAATATATATTTTCACATTTCAGGAACATTTAGATAGTACCCATGGTTCAGTCCATTCCTTAGATGCAGACTTACTATTGCCATCTGGAGACCCATTCAGTAAATCGGACAATGACATGTTTAAAGACGGACTCAGGAGAGCACAGTCTACAGACAGCTTGGGAACCTCGGGCTCACTGCAATCCAAAGCTTTAGGCTATAACTACAAAGCAAAATCTGCTGGAAACCTGGACGAATCAGATTTTGGACCATTGGTTGGAGCAGATTCAGTGTCTGAGAACTTTGATACTGCTTCCCTTGGGTCACTGCAAATGCCAAGTGGTTTTATGTTAACCAAAGATCAGGAAAGAGCAATCAAGGCGATGACACCAGAACAAGAAGAGACAGCGTCCCTCCTCTCCAGTGTCACACAGGGTGTGGAAAGTGCTTACATGTCCCCCAGTGGTTACCGCTTAGTCAGTGAGACAGAATGGAACCTCCTACAAAAAGAGGTGAGTTATCTTCCTTTTTTTCCCCTCTTGCTTTGAGAATACTGGGTAGCTCTGGGATTCATTTTTCATTCACTGGTACCTGGAGTCAAGCATACAGATTTTGCCAGCAAGTATACGTTAATCTGTATTTTCTGGTTGTTGTCTGCTTTGGCTGTTCCAGGTGACTGTGACAAAGGCGGGAACTAACTGCACTTGTGTCAACTTTTCTACCTGCAATCACACTTTTGAAGTTGAAGCAGTCTTCCCGAAAAGCATAGCAGATTTTTGAATTTGGTTTGCTTTCAGTTTTCTATAATCTCAATATATCCCCAAATTTATACTCTTTCAAATATTTCCTTGAGCTCTAAAGGGCAAATATTTGTTAACAGTTGATGCTGACAGTAATTAGAAGGAGGGAGTGGAAAATGTAGGAAGAGAATGGAAGACAGTCTTTAATGAGGTTAATTTTCTTTTTAATGCCACTTGCAAACTCAGAAGATTAGGAAAAAAGACCTTAAATGTGTATCTGAATAGTGCTTGATAGAATGCAAAGTCCTTTTATATACCTCATCTCTTTGAATTTCATGACAGTAGTGAGGCAATCAGGGCATGGTTGTCCTCCGTTTAGAAGTGAAGAAAGTGTCTCTGAAAGGTCAAGTGAGGCACTCAAGTTCTTTCTTTGATTTAATGGCAATATCAGGGTTAGAGTCCAGGCTTTCTGACAGCCATGCTTTCCTTTACTCAGGGCTACTTCTCTAAGGAGGCTATTGATGAGTATTAAGCTGAAAAGAAACTATTCTCTTTAGCTGTATGGAAAAAATGTATGAGAAGGTGCTACTTAATAGTTTCATACTATATAGTTCGGAGCTGGTAAAATGGTGAATCGGCGCTGCTTCCCTGTTTTCATCCCTTTGGCTGGGTAGTAATGATTTAACGTGTGAGTTCTCTGGTGTTAATATCATTTGCTTGACTTGTGTTTTCCTCAAATATGGGGTTTTTAGTCCTTAGCTTCATAATGCTAAAGTTGTGATCTTAATTATTTAACTACCACACTTATGTTGGAGCTTATGAGTATTTTAGAATCTGAGTCTATTTTTTTTTAACTTCTTGCCATAAACCTGAAGAAACATTTACTCCATGTTCTGTTTTGAGTAACATAAGTCTGTGCATGTTTTCCTCAAGAATGTGAAGTAGAATTATTTTATTCTGGTTGATAAGAGGTAATTTTGGTGTCCTTCAGGTACATAATGCTGGGAATAAACTTGGTAGACGTTGTGATATGTGTTCCAATTATGAAAAACAGTTACAAGGAATTCAAATTCAGGAGGCTGAAACAAGAGATCAGGTGAGTTCTTTTGGATATACCAACTTGGTGAGCTGTTGTAAATTTTATGGAAGGTATGGAATTAACTGCTTTTTTTACCTCTCCCATTTGCTTTATGAAATATATCCGTCCTGTTTAATATGAAATAATCTAGGACTCGCAATATCAGTTACATTTATTGTGGGAGCACACAACCTCTGCTTGTTGTGTATTTTTGTGTCATTACTTTGTCCAGTACCATATAGCTCAGTTCAGTAGCCCCAGCACTGAAGACCTAAAAATGGTATTGCATGTGGAAAAGTATATTATCATATATAAATTTTGGCAGATAACTTGAGTATGGCTTCTAACTGAATATTAGAAGCTTAAGTGAACATTATATTAATCAGTATTTGGACTCTGCATTGCTTTTTGGCTACATCTAGTCATAAATTTTATGCAAAAAACTTATAATGGCCATAGAAATTTAAGATTTGGTAGTTTGGTATTTCAAAATTAACAAATCTTAAGTTAACAAGCCTTTTCTAATACAATGCTTAATTATGGGTTCTTTAATATCATTTAGAAAATAACGTAGAATTTCTTGAGAGTAGGCTTGTTAAAGTACGTGTAAGGAAAACTTTCTTTTCCTTATTGTTGCAAGTTGGTCTTTGTTATGAAGATTACTACCATAGTCTTCAAAATTACTTGTAGAAAATCAGAATGATGGTTTAATATTTTGAAATGTCATGGATTTCTTATATGTGCCTTTTTCATAAATAGTTTAAAGATAAATTCGGAAGTTATTTGTGAAAAGTAAAATTTTTACAGAGTGACATGGAAATGTCACTATTGGATTCTATTGGATTCTAGTCATTTCATAGACATTTTACTGATGCTTTATCTGCGCTTAGCATTCTGTGGACTCATGGGCATTCAGATACAGATGAAATACACTTTTAAAGAGTTTTACCAGCTCAGTATAATATAGTTAAATATAATTTGTGCCTGTGCATGTACACATAAAATTAGAGGAGGGACAGGGCATATAACTTATTTGTGGGCTTAGGGATGTAACATTTGAGCTGGGGTTTTTTTTTTTTAGAGTTGGAGTAAAAGTTAATTAAGAAAAGAAGTGGAGGGGGAAAGATGTTCAAGGAGAGGAAAAGAGTTACGTGTTATAGAAAAGTAGCTGGACATATGTATGACATGTGTAGGGTGGGGAGTGAGAAAGGGGAGGACAGACGAGTTAGGCCGCCAGTGGCCTAGCCTGGAGGATCTGGGAAGAAGAGCACTATTTTCAAATGATATAATGTATGTGAAAAATTATTTGTTAACTTTAAGCATATTATAGTTGCCAAATAAGGTGATTTCATCTGTTATCTTTTTAAATTAACATATAAAATCCTTTTTGGCAGAAAAAAAGATTAGGTATTTTAAAAAATACTCTCCGAGTTAAGCATTTTTGTTTGACTTCATGAAGGCATTCTGGTACTTTCTTCTAATTGACACTTAAAATTGCATAGGTGAAAAAACTGCAGGTGATGCTGAGGCAAGCCAATGACCAACTAGAGAAGACAATGAAAGATAAGCAGGAACTGGAAGACTTTATAAAGCAGAGCGCTGAAGACTCAAGTCATCAGGTAAATGAAGGTTTTAAGAATGTGCCTTGGAAGATGACTGAGCTGATTTAAATAAAAACAACTGTTCTGAAAACAGTATTATTTCATTTTTGCCCTGAAGAGTTACCATTTCTATTCTACTTAAGGTAGAAAGATACCTTATTCTTTCTCTGGTGTTTAAAAAAAAAAAAAACCCAACTTTTAACATAACTGGTTATGACTATCAAGAGACTCAAATTTTTCTTTCCTTCTTGATTTTTATTAGGCTTTTCTGCTGTACAGCAAACGATGACAAAGATAGTGTTTTTATCTTCTTTTTGATTCCTAAGGGTATAGCATCCATAGACAAATATTCATCTTACAACAGATACACCAAACATACTAGAGTTAACATCTGTGAAACCACCATCAAGATCAAGTAATAGAATTTTAACTAATACACCAAAAGTCCTGACATCCCCCCTTTACTCATTATCTCCTCCCTAGAGGTACCACTGTCCCAATTTCTAACATCATTAGAAACAAAGTATATAGAATGTATTCTTTGGTATATGTGTTATCTGTTCAACATTATGATATTCCTGTTAACTGTACATGGAGGAATAATTAGTTCATTTTCTTTGTTGTACCATTCTGTGGATATGTTTTGGTTTGTCCATCTTACGTTGATGAGTGTTTGAATTGTTTCCAGTTCTGGGGTATTATGCATAATTCCTGCTTTGAAATTTCTTTTTATGACTTCTTGAATGAGCTTCTGCCAGATACATGCCTTGGAGTGAAATGCCTTGGTCAAAATTTTCATCTACTTTGATAGATAAGGCCAAACAGCTTTCAGAGTGATTGTACACATTTATATTCTCACTGTATGAGAAGTATATGAGTGTATGAGAAGAATTCATGAGTCTAGAGTCTTCATAAATTGTTTTAATGACAATCATTTTGGTGGAAGTGGAATGGCATTTCGTTTGCATTTCTCTGGTGCCCATTAGCATTTTTCATGTTTCTTGACCAATTGGGTATCGTATTGTGAGTGTGTGTGTGTGAAGAGTGTGAGTTTGAACTCATGCAGCACTAAAGTAAGTCTTATGCCAACTTTTCGATTGTCTTTTTAGTTTTTTTCTGTTTTTTTTTTTTTTTATGTTACAAATTCTTTTATTTAAACTTACTGAGCCCTTTGGTGATATCTCTTGTAAATGTCTTCTACTCTGTACCTTTTTTATTACCTGGATAGAATCTTTTGATTTTAATGTACTTATTATCTTTTCTCTGATTAGTGATTTTGCCCTTGTTTTTAAAATAGTATTTTCTCACCTTGCAGTTGTGTAGTTATTTTCAGATGCTTTGTAGATGATTTTACTGTTTTAGAGTCACATTTATACTCTAGATCCAGCTAGTACTTGTATGCTGTATGTCAGGATAAATTTTTTACTTTTTTGTATGGATAACCACTTCTAGTACCATTTAGTGAAATGGTCATTTTTCTCTCACTGCTGTCAAGGTCATCTTTGTTATCTCTCAGGTAAATATACACATGTGGGTTAGCTTTAAGACCCTTTTCCATCTTTGTTTATTTTCTTCTGATGTTTTCTTTTTCTTATTCAGTAATTTTCCCCTTCAAATGGGTATAATCTATTTAATTCATTCACTTTTAAGATAAATGGCTTTTTCAGTTTATTTCTGCTTGGTTTTATTGTTTCTAATTCTCTGGCAATTCTAAATTTTGTCTTTTAAATATCAAACAGACTAAGTGTATTTATTTTAAAGTCTGTCTATTAATTCACATACCTAGATTCATTATAGATCTGTTTCAACAGTCTGTTTAGTTTTTTATAATAACCTTTCCCCCCTTTAAAATATATCCATTTTTTCTTGCGTGCTAGACATTGACTGAAAAATTGTTGAAATGATATAAAACCATTTTCTTTATGAGAGGCAGGCAACTAGTGGTACTAATGTTTTTGGATATTGTTTTTCCTGGTTTTGGCACCAACTTTTTTGGTCCCAATTTCTGTGACTGGCTGCAAGGAAGAAAGATGGGAGACAGAAAGGCTGAACTAGTAGTTTATTGCTCCCGGGCAGCAGCTGAGATGGAACTCCCTAGGGTGGGGTCTGCAGCTACTGCGAGTTCTGTAGGGGAAAGTGTCTCTTCTATAGGCTTTAGGTTCAGTTTTAGAAAGCTGATGTGGCGCTTTACACCTGTAAGGCCTGGTCCCAGTCATTGTGCTATTACCCCATGTGGTCACACAGGTAGTTGGTGTGTTACTGCCCATATCTGGTTACACTGAACAGATATCACCATAAATCAATTGCAGGAATCAAGATTATCTAATATTGTGAAGATTAGATTATTTTAAATTCCTCCCTTAGCCCTTAGTGTGGCCCTTTGGGGACTCAATCTAAAGACAGGTGTTCTGCACTCCTATGCAGCATTATTTACAAATAGGTCAACTATTGTGACAACCTAAATGCCCCAAAACAGATTACAGATCAAGAATTCGGTATATACACACAATGGAATATTTACTCAGCAATCAAAAAGATAAACTCATGCCATTCAGAGAAACATAGATGAAGCTGGAAGGGAGTCATGCTCAGTGAAATAAGCCAGAGAGAAAAATAAAAATACTGCATGTTTTTAATTATAGGAGGAATGTAGGGGTCCCAAATAAGAGGTTGGGGGAAAGGAAAGTAATAACAACAAAGCGAAAATCAAAATCAACAGGCAATGATAAAGAAGAGACATTTTGCAGAGTGGGAGGAGGGAGTTGGATCAACGGTGGGAAGAGCACAAGGGACTACGGTGATGGTGCACGGGTGAGTTGGTGGTGGGAATTTCACCAGACTGTACCCGAAATGAAAGCATACATTGCATAAAAATGAAGAATGATGTAAATATATATATAAAATAAAAATTAAAAAAAAATTGCAGGTGTTTTCTAAGTGTACCTGTGTGGTGGATTCTGGACTCTTAATGTTGCCCTGTAAATGCTCTGCTCAGCTTTTCAGTGTGACGCTGGTTCCTTTGGAGTTGGCATTTACTTTCGGAGGAGAGCTTTTGTAGGTGCTGCTCTCGACTCCCCAGGGTCCACATTCAGATCCTTGGCTGTGTGATTCTTTCTGCCTTGTTCTCCAGTGTCTTCAAATGATTGCTTTCATATTTTAGTCTAGTTTTTCTGCTTCCCAATAGAAGGTTGATTTATAATGCCTACTCTGCTACTACTGGAAGCAGAATGAGGTCACGTGAATCCATACACACAAAGCCAACGTGACCCTGGGGACCTTTGGTAGCACCTTGTGTGATCTGAGAGGCAGAGCCACACAAACCTGTCCAGTAGGTTACGACAGACAATAAACACCAATCCTGGATGATTGGGAAGCATTACCAGTTTCCTAACTGTATATTTTCTTTGTGTACAATTTTTCTCTTTGAAGATCTCTGCACTTGCCCAAAGAGCCCAAGCATCTGAGATCTTACTTGAGGAGTTACAACAGAGGTTTTCCCAAGCAAAGAGGGATGTTCAGGAGCAGATGGTAAGTTAATATTTTATTAAAATTAGCTTCATTATTTATTAATTTATATGTGTACTCTGTCTTGAAACCATCTTTTAATAACGCTTGTACTCCCTGGTCAGAGTGATGATGGTTTTCAGATTATGGTTATGTCATTCAGGGCCTGCATAAAAACATTAGTAATGGATAGGTTATATAAAGACATTTCTTTTATTAAACCTACCTTTTGGGGGCATGGGTTAAAGACTCAGTGCTGTCAAGCTGTCTCCAGCCACTGTGGCATGAGTTTGGCCTGGCCAGGGAGCTAATCCACACGGTGTAGCAGACCTCTCCTGTCTCCCCACTGCTCCTCTCAGCAGTATATTTCAGGAGATCTGCCTGTTCTGCTCTCCACTCGTCTCTGGTGAATCTTCTCAGCCCCTGCACTTCTGTTCTTCTTGTATGTGTAAATAAGCAAAACTAGATCTTTAAATCTGCCTTCTGACCAACAAAATAGCTTTACTTCTAATTTATTTTTCTGGTTTGGGGAACCTAATCAGAATACACTATGGACTGTGTGAGTTAATTTGCAGCTTCAAATACAAGCTAATAATGGAAATCTCAAAGCCTAGCAAGTGCAGCTTTTGGCAGTCATTGTGTTTCCATTAGATAGCTAATTTATTTAGAATAATTTCACTAATTTCACAAGAGTTAAGATAAAACCCTAGCTACTATGATATAGGAAAACTTCCAGAAGACCATGAGTTTTGATGGGGATGGGGCAGAGAGCTTCTTAAAGAGCTGGTTGGAATCTCTGCAAAATATTACTCCAGCTTTGGGTCTCTAGTCTCAGCAGAGTCGGATCTGCTGGGATGGGCCAAAAGAGCTGTCTCTTGTGCATCTCCCAGGGTGACAGAAAAAAAAAGTTGCAAATGGTAATGGTTTTTGATTGGCATTAGGTTAGTATCCGAATGGCATTCAAGCTGCTCCCTAAATTCATCAGCTTTGGTGGGAAGCATCTCACCCCAATACTGACTAGAGAGTTTCATAATTTTCCATTAGCTAGAAAATGTAAGATAATATTCACTTACCTAAGAATCACTGTTATATGCTGCCAAAGTTTTATAGTGTATAACCTACTTATATTCTGTCTCCTCTCATCTTTTGTCTCTTTTAAATCTTAAACATTTTCCAGGTTGATTCCTTGTTTAAATGAATGTGTTATATGCAGGTGACATTGAAGAGGTTCAGATTGAGGTTCTGTGAATGCTAATGTAGTACACCTTTTTTCAAAATTTCCTTTAAGAGTTCTTATGCAGAGAGAGAAATTCAATTTCTTATGCCCCTTCAGAGAAGATACCTATGGTTGTGGTGGGGATCTTGATACTTTCCTGTAATTTTTTATTGAAATATTTCAAATTTATGGGTGGTTTATGGAACGAACATTCATAAAACCTTCTCTTAGACTTACCAATAATATTTTGCTACATCTTTACATGCTTTTATTTTTTTAATCTCTTTCATACATGTTTGTGTATATATAGTATTATATGTATGTATGATTAGCCATTTGGAACATTATGCCATCTCCTGTTTTTGTATGTTTCTTAAGACAAAGAAGCTGTTCTCTGTAACCAAAATTCTGTTATTCTAATAACCAAGTCCTTGATTATTTCTTAGTGATGTTTCGTTTAAAATGGTGAATCCAGGAATCAGTCAAGAGACATAATGCATTTTTCTGTCTTGTCACTTTATTTTAAATATTTATTTATCTATTTATGTATGTATGCATGCATGCATGCATATAAGAACTGGGGTATATGCCAGAGGTGTGGGATGGAGTGGGTTGGGCAGGTAGAGGTTTCACCAGAGAGTGGGGAGCAGACCAGGTGGACTGACTGAAATATATTGCTGAGGGGAGCAGTGAGTGAAATGAGGGAGAGGTCTTGCTGTGCCATGCAGGTCTGCTCCTGGTCGGGGATTGAACTCATCCCTTCATAGTGTTGATACTTAAGCCCTTGCACGATCAGGGAAGGCCCTGGCTTAGCACTGTATCTAGATTGTTACAGTCACTTTTTTGGTGTGACTTTTATAAAAATTATTTTATTTATGTATACAGGAACTAGGGTATAGGCCAGAAGGGGTAAGGGATTCACCAGAGACAGAGTGGGGAGCAGAACAGGCAAATCTGTTGAAACACACTGCTGAGTCTGAGAGCAGCAGGCGAGATAGGCGAGGTCTGCTATGCAGTAGTAGGTGGGGATGGAACTCACGCTGCAGTCGCTGGTGATAGCTCAACAGCACTGAGACTTAACCCCTGCACCACGAAGGAGGCTCTGTGATGAATATTTTCAATACATTATAGAATACATTTGTCTGATTATTTCCACACGAGTAGATTCAGATTAAGACATTTTGGCAGGGATACTACATAGATGAAATGATTAAATGGGCATTTTGGTTGTTTATGTTAGTTTGATCACTTAGTTAAATGTGGGGACAAAATAGTTTCAGACCCACTAATATGGCTATCAGCAGTAAATCCAAGTAAAGCTCAGTGTTTCTTTGTATTTCTTTCTGTCCTTAGACTGTATCCCAGGTAAAAGTCAAGATACCGTGTTCAAAAGTCAGTTGAACTGATTTTTCTCTTACCAATTTAATCTGTGGTTAGTGCCATTTGTTTCTGTATTATGGTTTAGGATTTGCTGTTTTCTGTTTTAACTTACTTTTTTTCTTTTTGAACATGCAAATGGAAAAATGTGTCAGTATCCAAAAGTTTCACTTCCAGTCCCTGTTTTTTTTTAACCCCATTCCTACCCACTCCCCTTTAATGACCATTTAATTTTTGGTTTATCCTGTTTTTCTCCTTACAAAAATCAGTATACACATGTTCTTCCCCGTTTATATCCAAAAAGTAGGATACTAATATATTGTAGGAAGTGGGCTGAAAGTGATAAAAAAGCAAACTGACTCTCGTCTGAAGACCAGTACAACTGATCAAATATTAGGTTTTACTTTGACTACCAGTGCCTGCTTAGAAAGCATGATTACTTCTGGAAAATGTTCTTGAGTGCTTTCCCCTAATTTGGTACCTCTTTTGTCCCTTTGTCACTGCTGTACCCTTTTCCTGTCATGACACTTGGGGAAATTTTGGCTTACTTACCTTTCCCTCTGCTACACCATCTTCTCCAGGAAGAATTATCTGCCTTGTATGTCTGTTCCCAATGAGCAGCAAAATATCAAATAGATTAGGACCTCCCTGGTGGCATAGGGGGTTAAGCCTCAGGCTGTCATGCTTTCATTGCTCTGTGCCGAGTTCGCTCTCTGGCCGGGGGGCTAGGCCACATATGGCGCAGCAGACCTCTCCTGTCCTGCCTGCTGCTCCCCTCAGTACTGTAACTTTATTTTCATACGAATTCACATAAAATATCCAGGTTTGTTTTATACGTGAGTAGAAAACAAATGAGTAGAATGCCCCATTTTAAGAATAAGTTACTTAAATGTACTTCTTAATAACCTCCAATTTGTGGTCCCTGAGCCATTCACAGTGATCCTGAGTTCAGATATTATGTATATGCAATGAAAGATGAAGATGCTGCTTTTTATTTCTCCCTACTTCTGTTGAATGCATGCCATGAGGAATAGGAATTATCTTGGGGTACGTACTCTTTGATATAGGTCTTGACTGTGTCAGCCATTTTCAGTGAGCTTAGAGATACTGGTCCTTCTGAGTCCAGACATATGGGGGAAGAGAGTCATTTTTAAGCTGTTGGTAGGAACAGTGGAGATTTAGCTCAGATACTTGTTCCATTGCCTGTCCCCTTGAATATATGTAATGGCTATAAATCAAAAAATCTTTGAACTGGTTTCTACAAGTCATATATAGAACTTTATTATGTCTTCCATTCTCATCCATCATTTGGTTTGGCCTTGTTTTTTTTTTTCATGTCACAGCAATCAGCTGATAGGATTTACCTTTTTGGCTGTGATTAGTATCTGTTTCTATTCTAGGCAGTGCTGATGCAGTCACGGGAACAGGTTTCAGAAGAGCTGGTGAGGTTACAAAAAGATAATGACAGTCTTCAGGGAAAGCATAGCTTGCATGTTTCCTTACAGCAAGCAGAAGACTTCATTCTCCCGGAAACTATAGAGGTGACTTATTTTCCACATGATCAAAATATAAACAAGTACATTTTCTGAAATGGCTCTAAACTTTAAGACTTACACTTGTGATATTAAGATACCAAATAATTTACCCCTTAAAGTACACAATTCAGTGGTTTTTAGTGTATTATCAGATGTATAACTATCACAATTTTATTTTTCATCACTTCAAAAAGAAACCCTTTAATCATTGATTCCTTCCCCTAACCTTAACTACTTGTCTGCTTTCTGCTTATAGATTGGTCTATTCTGGACTTTCTAATGAATGGAATCAGACATTTTATCTTTTATGTCTGGCTTCTTCATGTAGCATACTCTTTTAAGAATTACTCATGTACATTTCTTTTTTATATGAATAACACTGTACTGTGTGTGTGTATGTACATATAATTTGTTAATGGACACTTAAGTTGAATTTACTCTGGGCTATTATGAATAATGTTTACCTGTACATGCTAACTTATGTCAGGTTTTGGTGTGGACAGGTTTTTATTTCTCTTGGGTAAAAACCTAGGATTGGAATTGCTGGGTCATAAGACAGTTAACTATGTTAAATCATCTGAGGATTTCTCTACTTTCTCACCAATACTTGTTCTTCCACTTTTGAGTATAACCTGATGGGTATCTGTGATTTTGATTCGTATTTCCCTGATGCCTAATGATATGAGCGTCATTCATGTGTTTACAACATGGCCATGTGTAGATTCCTTAGAGATGTGTCTGTTCAGAGTTTTCACTCATTTTTAAGTTGTTTATTATTGTAAGAGTTCTTTGTTTTCTCAATATAAATATGTCTCTTAGCAGATAAATGATTTGCAGTGTTTTCTTCTACTCTGGACTGTCTCTTTCCCTTTCTTGATGTTCTTGGAAACACAAAGGTTTTTATTGTGCTAAAATCCATCTTTTTCTTCTGTAAATATTTTCAGTGTAGTAGCAGAGACTCTTGTGCCAGGTCAGAGATTTGTACATTATTCTGGCAGTTAGGTGGAACATTATCAGAAGGTTGCCAAGCAGGCTCCTTGGGGAGTTTTTCTGACTAGTGCCTCAAGGGGTTTACCACACCCCACCTTCCTTTTGTCTTCTAGTAACTTTTGTGACACTTAATACTTCTTTTTTTTATGCAGTTCTTTTAAAATCTCACTTAGTTTGTAGGTTGTTTTTCCCAGTTCTACTCTGCAAACTCAGTCTCTACAGTTTGTACCGTATTCTTTTTTCCTTACATTTAAATGAATAATGTGATGCTTTTTGTTGTTGCTTTTATTTTACTCACTTGCCAGGGCTTCACTGCCTACTTTGCCATTAGTTCCTTGTTCCCTCTCTTGCCCCACTTCTCTCCTCCTTTCTGAATTGGTGACTCATCAAAGAGTAAGTTTGGGGAATCTGTCTGCTTTTACTATCAGCATACTACTTCCCACTTAACCTTTGTTAGACTTTTTTCTTTTTGTAGGAAAGATTTCTCTCTTCCAATTTTTATAAAGAATTTTAATTCCTATAAAGTTCCAAGAATATTTGAAGGATGTAATTAGCATATAAGCCTTCATTCTTAGACTTGGTTCAGTAATACATTTTATGAAAATTTTCTTGTGTTACAGTTTATACTCTTTACTTTTACTCTTTATACTTTTGGTAGTTATCAAGAATTCTTGTTTTTAGTTTAAAGTTGCTTTAGGATATAGTTGGGAGGATTTTTAAAATAATATATGTATCTTACATCATTGTTCATTATTTTACTAGTTGGGAGGATTTATAAAAGAAGGCAATGAAAGTTAAGGGGAAAATAAAATGTAAACTGAATTATAGGGAAACAAACACCTGCTCCTTGAATGGGTTGAAGTTCAAAGTCTTAAAAGTTTGAACCATTTAAAACAACATCTGAAATTCTGGCTGCAGAAAGTTTTTAGCTTCACTTTATTATTTTCTTTCACTCTTACAAATCCAATAACCATTTGATTTCTTAATCCAGGCACTTCGGGAGTTGGTATTAAAATACCGTGAGAACATCATTCATGTTCGGACAGCAGCAGACCACATGGAAGAAAAGTTGAAGGCTGAAATACTTTTCCTAAAAGAGCAGATTCAAGCAGAACAGTGTTTAAAAGAAAACCTTGAGGAAACTCTACAGCTGGAAATAGAAAATTGCAAGGAAGAAATAGGTGAAGATAAAAGTGATGTAGTTTAGAACTGGAACAAAATAAAACTTCTGATTATAAGACTTAATATGTGGTCATGCATAGTAGAAAATGAACGAATAGAAAAGAACCAAGTACTTAATCCATGTTTCTAGGTGTTCTGGTACATCTAATAATGGGGAATAAAAAATAAGAAACAGCTGCTTTTTGGCAGTTAGTAGTAGCTACGAAGTTCCAAGCCAGACCACTGGGGAACATGATTAGATGGGGGGCATTTCCTTACAGTATTTAATTGTGTCAACACACTCCTGCTGGGACTAGCTCACACCCCAAGACCCACCCCAGAGAGATGAGGGTAGTTTATGACAACTGCCTCTACCTGAGCTTGATTGGTTGGGGAAAATTTTTTTACGATATATTTATGCATACAAAAACTGGGGTGTAGGTAGACCAGAGATGTGGGAGTGGGGTGGATGAGAGGATTCACCAGGGACAGAATAGGGAACAGAACAGGCAGATGTACTGAAACATACTGCTGAGGGAGCAGCGGGTGAGACAGGATAAGTCTGTTGTGTGATGTAGGTCACCTCCCTGGCTGGGCTCAAACTCTTGCCCCAGTGGCTGGTGATAGCTTAATAGTGCTGAGACATTAACCCTGTACCCCTGGTTGGGGAAAATTCTGAGAAAGGGGTGTTGAATTCTTCCCATGCCCCATTATGTTGACTCCTTCCATTGTATGACATTGAACTTGCAGTAGAAAGTATATTTTAAGACAAAAGTTTAATTGCAAAGTCAGAAATGCTAACGTTGCCTTTTTTTTTTTCCTCCCCCCCCCCAGCCTCCATTTCTAGCCTAAAAGCTGAATTAGAAAGAATAAAAGTGGAAAAAGGACTGGTGAGTTTCAAATTCATTCTATCAGTGACCATTAGTTATTTATTGAATCCTGCTTTGCTAGGCCCAAGATATAAATGATAGTTAGACATAGTCCCTGCGTTTTAGAAACTTCTGTCTAGTGGGAAAAATACAATGGGATGAAAACATGCTGACAGTGAAGACTGTTTACTGAGTTCTTTGTGTCAGGGCATGTTAACTGGATGAAGTACAGGGAGGACTTGGGTGTGACTGCAGCCTGCAGTCTCCACTACAGTGAGATGGCCATGACACAGTATAGACTTAAAGCTACAGAGGAAATACATATAGTCTTTTTCAAATAGGAGGTGTTTTCTGGAACCCTCTCCTCTTCGACAACACTAAGACCTTGTAAATGGCCCCATTTTACTCCCTGGCCTTGTTTGTTGGTCAGTGACCTTTACCTCTTCTCAACCCCACATGCTAAGTTATTGCTTTGCCCCACCCCGACGTCTCATTCACATGCCTGACACCAGTCTCTATCCCTCCAGATCTATAATTTCATGGATCCATCTTCCTGAGCATCCTCAATTCAGAGACCTTCAATTCCCTGAACTTTTCCTTTTTTCCTAGTTTTAGCAACCTCATTATTACATTTTTGCTTTGTCTAGTCTGCATCCTTCATCACTTGCATCTTCAACTAGACTTCCACTGAAACCCTCAGTCTCCTGATTCCTTGTTCTCCTACTCTTCTAACAAACCACTAGTCTGTCTTCTGCCGCCACTATGTGGTTGCAGACTTCAGTTCTTCCTGGGCTTATTTTAAGTCTAACTTCTTTTCCTGCTTCTGTATTTTATCTCCTTCCAATTTATCTTCACATTGAAACCAAGGTGAGCTATAAAAATTACAAATGGCTGTCTCCCAGTGATTGTTTTGGGATCAAGTCCATATTTCTTAGCCTGGTCAGGTCTCAGCCTCTAAGGCCTCAGCACTCTGCTGTGGTATAGGCAAGAATCACCACACTTCCTAACCACATTTTTAAACATGTCTTCCACTTCATCTTTTTTTTGGAGTATGTCACTTTCTCTCCCTTACCATCTTTTTCCTCTTGTTAGACTTTTCCCATCATTAACAGGTCACATATCTTTTTAGGGAACTTGTTCCCAACTTTTCAGTAGGATTAAACATTTCTTCTTCCATGTTTATGTGCTGTAATTATTTGAGTCTGTCTCACCTTGCCCAGGCCTACGACATAGGAGAAGCCTAGTGTTTAATGAGGGGGGAAAATAAAAGTCCTAAAAATTAACAGAAGTGTCACAGAGACCAAAGGGTGAGAACAGTGAGTGCAAGCGTGGCCAGGTTGGAGGCCTTGGCGCCCTGAGGGTTGGTGCACGTACCACCAGGCCACAGCCTCTGCAGGCAGTGTCTGAGTTTCATTTTTTCTTCCTTAATTCACAGTTGGAGTCTACATTGAGAGAGAAGTCTCAACAGCTTGACGGTCTTCAGGAGATAAAAATCACTTTGGAGGAACAGTTAAAAAAAGAGACTACTGCTAAGGTGATATTTTTTGTTGGTAATTTAATTACAAAGTGTGCTAACATTGTGGGATCACATCTTAACCTATTTTTTGAAAAAACTGCTGTCCTAAATAGAGCTGCCATCTGAAAATTGGCATGACTTTCTGCTTGTAGAAATAAATGATATCTCATTAGACTTGGGTTAAATCTGTAACTACCAGCTCTGGAGGCCTGTGTCAGAGACCACTGTACTTTTGGGCATTGGGGTCAAGGGGCCATGAGCCAAGCACTGCTTGGCTAGAAGCACTGCTTTGAAAAGGTTGTTCCATTTGACCACATGTTCACATGTTGCATGGAGCCATATTTGCTGCTGAAATTTGAATTAGTCTAGTCAGAATAAAGTGTGGGGATAATTGTGGGGGTTTCCTAGAAGTGGCCTTAGTGAGCTGTGAGGTCACATCTTAAAAAGAATAAAAGCACTATGTCTGTGTGTTCCATGACCACTTGTGTTTACAAAGGCCCTTACATGGTCCTGCTGTTTCTCTATAAGGAAGATTGGAGGCTCTTGGGGCTGCGTCGGGCATAATGGTTGACTTTCCTAAAAGATGTGTAATTGTGGCTGTCAAAGGAAATCTGTCTCTATTCCTGTGGTAGCCACTGATCTCTCAGCTGCTTTTTGATGATTGATCAGTCACCACGCTGTTGGGGTTAGTCTGCAAAGGGGGGGGGGTAGCACTTTTTATTTTTTCTTCCTTCATACTCAGTTCATTTTAGGACCTAGAACAGATAGCTAGATGGCTCGCCCCTTGCCATGTAGATGAAGGGAGGCAAACAGGACCCATGACAGCCATGGGCATCTATTGTCCTCTCATGTGGTAGGAAGCCACACATTCCTAGATTTCCTAAGTGCTTCTGACCTGTGGCTCTTTGGCATTAACCCTCATTCAAAATGTATACTTTCTAGGTTACCATTGAACAGCTCATGTTTGAAGAGAAGAACAAAGCTCAAAGGTTGCAGACAGAACTAGATGTCAGTGAGCAAGTCCAGAGAGATTTTGTGAAGCTTTCTCAGACCCTTCAGGTGAGGAATTTGGGGGTACCCCAGGATTCTGCACCAAGGCATTTTCGGGGATCATGGTACCCAGGAAAGGCTTGCCAATCACTGACTTGACCACTGACCATAGCTAAAGGTGTAGAGACTAACTAAGGCTGCCCCGATCCTGGCCTCAAATAGCTACCTGGTCATTTAATCTGGAAATAAATTTCAGACTCATTCCCCTTGCCTTTCCCTCTGACACCTGGCTGGCTTTTGTCTCCTTAAATGTCAGTTTTAAACTCCTTAGTGTACCATGTAAGACTCCTTTCTTCCAGGCTTAGCCATGTTTTATTTGTTCCTTTCTGCCTCACATCATACCTGTGTGAGAGCTGCTTGTGGTTCCTTACCCACCACCTGGTGTTCCTCTGTAAAGCTTTGTTTCATTATCCTTTTCTCTTTCAAGGCCCAGGTTAGGATTATCTTCTCCATAGAACCCTCTGTAGGCCCCTAAAGTGGGCCAGTGTCATCCCCACCCCTGCTGTGTTCTGCTTTCGCCTTGGCATTTGATGAGCATCCACAGTGACATTTACTGTATTAAGGCAAAACTGTGATCTTGTTTTTCAATCTGAACTGTGGGTTCTCAGGGCTTAGTTTTCTCATTTACATTCATAGTACCAGCATCTTGCACTGTGTCTATCAGAGTGGCTTTGGGGAATTTTCAATTGTTTTTGCTCCCTCCTTTTTTAAAGTCAATATTCTCTGGTGAATTAATCTGCTCCATTTCAGCTAAACATTTGAACTTCAGAAACCCAGGTGGAGGAATCTGCATTTAATTCACTGCATTATTCCTCCAGGTGCAGTTAGAGCGCATCCGGCAAGCAGACTCCTTGGAGAGAATCCGGGCAATTCTCAATGACACCAAACTGACAGATATTAACCAGCTCCCTGAAACATGACACCCTGATAGCAGGACTCTAGCCTGCACTTTGGATTTTTAACTCATCTTTAGAGCAACATTAATTATTATTTAACTCTTAACTGAAGAAGCAGGAGTCACAAATAAGGGAAGACTGGAGAAATGCTTATTTCTAGTGGAAGAATGTGCAGCACAGGAACAGCGAACAGTTGGAGTAACTTGCATCAAAAAGACCTTTCCATTGGGAACACTAATGAGACTCCAGTCTCAGTCCAGCAGGTGTGGGATGAGGTTTGGTGGAGAAAGTGCTGTTTCCTTGCCTGCTTTGTCCAACTCCCTACCCTAATGCAGCATCCTCATATAAGTGTTTGGTATTTTTTGTTCTTAGGTATTGGGAGAACTTTTTCTGTTGACTAGAGTTCATCAGTAACAGTATTCAGCTAGCAGAGGTGTAGTATGCTGTATGACTATTTTATATTAAAATATGAAGTTTGAGAGCAGGCCATTGGCTAATGACTGTATTTCCTAGCTCAGTGCTTTTCATTTTTTACCATTTTATCTTGACATGGAGGACCTTAGATGCTACTGAAACTTTCCTGAGACACACAAGACAATGGCAAACAAGCAATTCAAGAACTGAATTAATTGTGAGAATCTGAAGACATGGCTGGGCTTTTGTTGAGATTAAAGGAAAAGCACAAGAAGCTGTTTGGAAGCACTTTTTCTGCTACCTGGATGATTTTTGTGGGCCCACAGGTACCAGAGTCAAACTTAACTGGCACCATCTACTCTTATTCGATCAGTGGAAAAATAACATTAATAAGCTAAGCTATGTCTGGGAACATCTAGTATAAATTTTTAAATCTTATTTTCATCTCAAATCAGAGGGCCTAATACTAGTTTCAAACAACAAATGCTAACTAGATTTGACGGATACTGGTTTTGTATTTTTCTTTTATAATTTAGACCTGGGTTGTGATGCTTACTGTGAGGTTGTGGAAAACCCAGTTGGTATATTCATCACTTTGGAAATTGCTTTGTAATTTCCGTGAGTTTAGATTGTTTTTCCAATGTAGGAAAAGTCTCAGTGAGCGGGTTACTTTTGCCGTAGCCTTATGAAGTGTTGCAGAAAGCACAAAGAACGGATTCAGGTTCACGCGCTACCTGCTGCAGTACTCAGTAGAAGGCTATACTGACTTCATACAGGTGGCTCAAGAGCAGAATTAGTATCACACCTTTTGATACTGGTGTGGCACATCAGCAGGGTACTCGAAGGAACTCTATGGGAATTAAGTGGATAAGAAAGATCAGTTTATGGAAAGCCACCATTAACTTAGAATTTAACGTGAATTGTTTTTGTTATAAATGAAATCGTAATGGACTAGCCCCAACGATCTTTATTTATGTCTTCCACAGAAAAAGTGATAAGGACTACATACCTCATCCCTCGGGTTACTGTTGTAGTCTTGCATTCATGATTATGAATTTAAAACTAATAATGAAAATAACGCTTATAGGCTTGGCATGCATGAAACATTTTAATTGGTTTAAAGTCCCTTTGTATAAAGTGCTACTTGGTTTAGATAGAGGAAATATATATCCTCATTGAGTTACAGGGAATTTTATTCCAAAATGCAGTCAATTTAAATTATATATGTGTAAGACTAGTCCCCTTAGATTATCCACCAAGCTAATTTGTTTTAGGTTATTAAAATTGGCACTTTAAAAACAGGATGGGTCATTCATAATCTTCCTGAACTGAAACTATATATATATATAGCTCCTGGGAACTTGGTCTGCTGAGATGAGGCATCTTGCAGATTTTTTTTTGCCTAAGATGGTACGGGGCCAATAAAATCATGAATAAAGAACTGTTATTGGTCTCTGCTGTGGCAGATGCTATCTGTTGGAACCCACTCTGTTGAGGAAAAAAAGCCTAGAAAAACCCAAACTAAGATTCTGGGTTTTGTTAACAAACTATTTCTGGTAGAAAAAAACTCTTTGAACTGGGTCTTCTGTGTAAGTGGGTAGCTGATTTAGAAGGTAGGATGTTAGCGCTTCTAGACAAAAGGACAGTTGGGTTTCATGAGTGTTTCTGTGCTTGTATTCAGTCTGTACACTTGTTCTCACGCATGTCTAACCTAATTTACCTTCTACCTATAACCTACCTTATTACCATGTGGCTTTTAATTGGCAGCCACTCAGCCATTTCTAGGCAGGTACTATTACCTTTCAGAACTTAACATTGGTAGGTATAAAAAGATTACCTGAGGACAAGATCTTTTACTGCATACCAGCCATTTTCTTCTTTCTCCCTTTTGAGGTCTTGCACTTGTACCTCATACCCAGCAACAGGTATTGGGACATAGAGCACAGCCAAACCCAGCTCTGAAAGGTAATGCTGCCTGTCAAGGAAGTGAGCTAGTAGCGGCCTTGCAATTGTGGATCCTGAGCTCTGCTCTGAGCAGAAGGCAGGTGATAACTGTACTGAAGGTGTGTCCTTAAGAAAGTGTTCAAATTAAAAAAGCTGCTGCCTAGTACACTGTGTGGCCTTTTCCTTTGAATTCCTGGGCTATGTCCCTCTTCAGACTCATGATTTTGGTGCTAATACTTTAAAATGTAGCTCTCAGTCTTGTGCAAATACAGAAAAAGCCCATAGGAATTATGGTGATCTGGTGGTGGCTGCAGCTGAAAAGTGGCAGTCTTTTTTTATTTTCAATCCTAGGTCACTGTGAGTACAGTCAAAGACTCGGGCTTATATGTAACACATATTAACACTTTAAATATAAGCATTTATTCAGTAGTTATAAAACAATTATAAAAATGAACAACCAAACTAAAGTTCTTCCCAAAATGCCTCTTTATAAATTAGATACTGCTACCTTGTTTTACAATGAGTTTGAGCCTTCACTTGTGTTAACTTCAGTTTTGAGTTTGTTCCTGGTGTCAGAAGTTTACATGGTTTCGGATATCATTGATTTGCTTCACCATTTCTCTTATGTGTTCACCCCTGTAAAATTGTAAAGTCATTCACCTTGGGGAATACAACAATGAACTAGCCATTATAACTGGGTTTGAAGAATTTACACTCATATTACAAGAAAGTCGCTGATTTGATCCTCCCATAATTGATCACAGGGCTCCTGCTCAGTAATTACTAAGCATGCAAATACCAAGCAATCTTATCGGGCAGAAAAAGGACGGTCTCACAGTATGAGCTACACAGTGTTACTTACTCCTCTTTCAGGATGGACTGAATGCACTTTCTCTGGTAGGCGCTGAGCGTAATGGTGGGTTTTTGAGGACTTAGTACCTTTTCCATCTTTCGCTGCTGATAGTCTTTTTTCATAGTAACCTTAAGTATGAAACAACATTTTTGTCTATGAATTATTACATGTATGACTTTTACTTTTTAAAAAAAATAGTTTATTTTACATCATTTTGTGTCTTTTTCCATCTCAGTTATAATCCCCGTGGGCTTCCTTCCTCCTACCATTTTTGATCCCACTCCACCCCCATAAAATATCTCTGGTATATAGCTGTTCATTATTATACTCCTGCTATGAGTGAAACTAGTATTATCTTTCCAGCTCCATCCATGTTGCTGCAAAAGGAAGGTGGTTTTTTTTTTTTGGTTGCTGAGTAATATTCCATTGTGTATATGTACATCTTTTTAATCCAGCCATCTACTTTTCAGCATTTGGGTTATTTCCATGGTATGACTTTTACTTTTAATGAGATAAGTTTCCCATGGTGCTCACCAACCAACTACTGTGCACTTTTGTAGTGTCAGTTTTAGTCTAGTCTCTTTACAATAAGCACTTTAAAAAATTGCTTAATTTAGCTTCTCTGTTCATCCATTCTTACCTGTTTAATGGCATTGCCCAAATGTCGGAGTTGATCAGGTATCAGCTGTAGCTCTTTCTTCATATCTCTCTCACTATCAGAAAGCACTGGAAGCTGAGAGTGGAAACTGTGAAGTACTTTCTTCATCCTTTAGAAAAGGCAAGCTACATCTTAGCTGAAAATATGCTACTGGGGGGGGGGAGAGGAAGGGGGAGGAATAGTCATAACTTAAGCTCCTAATTCACAAATTTGTAAAGGGCCTCATCAAGATGGGTTGGGGAGCACTACTGTCTTCCCTGACAAACCTCAGAAGAGGGCTAGGGGTTAATTCTTAGGCATGTGAGCACCCTTCTAAGGTGCTCAAAAATACTAACAGTCACCACCACTCAGCTGAACAATGAAGAGAAAGTTACACATCTCACTGACCTGTTCATGATATCCTCTTGTTTTTCTTTCGCTTCCTCGTATTTGTCAGCTAAACGCTCAGCCATTTCCCGTAGACTTTTCCTAATGTTATAAAAACAGGCTCTTGGAGTCCACCTCTAGGTTATACTAAATGATATAACTCAGAATCTTGTGAACTAGTTTATTAGTATTTCTCGCTCTCCCTAGTTTGGGCACTTACCTCTCCTCTCGACAATAATTGAGATCTTCTAGTTGCTTCTTTTTTTGATCACATAATAACTTGACCCTTCAAGAGCAAAAAGAAGTGACATTTAATCAGAAGCCAGGGCCAGGCCATTAGTTAGGGCCTGATGGTGTGTGAACAAAACCATCCTACCTCCGCTGAATCTCCTCCTTTGCCAGGTCCTGTTTAAGGATGTACTGTTCTCTGAACACCTGCGTGGCTCTGCTGATGAGCTGGAGACATTCTTCAGGAGGAGGGGGTGCATCTTTTTCAGATGATCTTAAAAAAAAAAAGTTTCTGTATTACTCAGAGCAAAATAAATACTCAAGTTACAGCTGCTTTTTGCCTTTATACATTTCCTATCGTTCTCAAATGCCTCTGCCCATGTCTATTCTCACCCTCTTTCATTAATTAGCTGACTAAACACACCCCATGTTTCTGACAACTCCAACATAGTAAAAGGTATTTGAAATTAAATAGGTGAGAAGAGGTTGGACAACAATAAAACAGAGAAGGCAACCAGCTCTTAAAACCTATATGCCCCAAAGCTCATACTTCAAAAACGCTGGGTTTGCAGTGCTACGTTGCAAAATGCTCCTAATATGCTTTTCAAAGGAATCTGGTGTTTCAGCTAGAATCCGGAGGGGAGACTCCGCCACTTCAACATCTTCTCTGGTACAAAGCAGGGGGGGAGATGCTGGATGGACTGTGCTTCTGCAAAACACAGTTTACAGTGGTGTTATTTACTGTACACTTGAGAGGAAAGCATAAGTCACATTTCCAGAGCTTTGATAACAGTAGGAAGTATGAGCATTGCTTTTGTAGATGCGTTTTCTGCTTTAAGAGGTCACCTTAGGAGGGTGTCCCTTGATGCAACCAGTGCTGCTAGCTGTCAAAGCATTTTGGGCTTTTTTTTTTTTTTTTTTAAAGATGGAGGCAGCACAAACAAACTCACGGACTCTTCTGCAAGACCTGAGAGCCAGTTTAGAAGCTAGAGTTATGAATAAATCACTCATATCCTAAGTAAAAGTTTGGGGTTGACCAAGACCAACATTCAGCCAGACAACTACTGTATATGTAGTTGGTCTACTTAATTTCATTTCTAAGACACATCTACTTAGATTATCATAAAAATTCATAAAGACAATTTCAGAAAGAGCTTGAAAGATCAACTCTGACAGCCAGGTGGGTGACTTACTCTGAAAGCAATAATTCAAATCTGGGAGTTTAATAATAATAGACAATTTGGATTTCAGGCAGTTGGCAGAAACGTAAGCTCTGAAGGCATCATATAATATTTAGAAATTTCCCCTCCCCCACACCCTTTGAGGTTCAGTTTCATCCTGAAGTAACAGTGTGCCTAGGCACTATTTTACAAAGCTTACTATAGGTTTTTAGAATACATGCTGAGGTAACAGGCCAAAAGGCCTTCTTTTTCCAGTGACTTTACTACTTCTGTTTAGTCTTAGTAGATTTAGTATAAAAATTTTTAGTATAATGCAAAAGTGATAATTACTTTCCTTTAAATTGTAAAACTTCAATTTTCAAAGAGATAGGAGTTCCTCTAAAGGCAGTCAATTATATTTACTACCAGTACTTTGAACTTTGGTTGAGTGTCTTGAAGTACTTGCTTTGAACTGGCACCAAAGAGACTGGGAAAGTGTGTATCTAGTGTTCAGCACCCTGATGGCTCACCGAGGGGCTTGACTGCGTTTGAGTCTCAGCATGACCTTATGGACTGCTGAATAAGCAAAGTGGTGTTTATAGTTCAATATGAGTTCTTTAAGGGGAGTGAAGATAATGAGCTTAGCAATACACTTCCTTTTCCTCCCAGTTTATATTTTGTGTTTCACCCTCAAGCTGACAGAGGAGAAAGTGTTGACTTGAGACTCGCGTCAGAAAGCAGCCCAGCACTGTGTCATTGGTTACTTCAACCTTTACTTCACACTTGTAACCCTATTTCCTATAAAGTGGGATAATAGCATTCTCCTTACAGGGCTGCTGTGATTGCAGGGAACTGGCTTCCTTCTGAGCCTGGCACATAGAGCTTGCTGATCATTATTTCTAACTCATATTAACAATGGAGTTCAATACAAATATTCTTTACTGTACTTCAAAAAAAAAACTAGGCTGAAGTAGATGCCAGAAATCAATACTAAATTAAAAGCTACAGAGACAGCAAGAGAAACAGACACCCAAACGCCAAAGCATAAAATGTCTAGCTTCAACTGGTCACTTGAGAGCATTTCCCCAACTTAAATTGCAGAATTAACGAGAGCTGTGTTGGAAAACAAAATGGGACATACAGTAAAGGCCTTATGAGGCATTCGTAGGTACTGGTGACGCAGATCATCGTGGGGCCCAGAATGTCAGGGACAATCCAGAATCCTCGAATGGGAGCTGGCTGCCTAGAAAGACAAGACACAGTTGAACTGTAAAGTAGCAAATGCAAGAACATAGCTGAGGCTCATGGCCTTCTTGAGCTGTTAGCCTAAGCTAAGCTGCTGAAGACACAGGACAATAACTTCAAAGGTGATAACTTGGAAACCTGCAACGCAGATCAGACCGAGCTACCACTCCCCAATATGGAGGAGAGGAGGAACCCTCTGCTTCCTGTTACCATGCCACACTGCCGTTTCTCTTCATTGAGATAACTAGCACAGATTAAGTTTCAGGTGTTCATCTTGGAAAATCAATTTGTGTGGATACACAAGTTTACTGCTAAAACAGCACTGCATCCGTCACTGTCCCTTTCCATGGATGTAACTACTTCCCCATCGCTTCTGGTAACCATTAACTGGTCTCATGCTCTAAGTTTATTTTTGGCTCTAGATAGGCGTATGAAGACACAGTGTGTGCGAGCTGGGAAGGCAATCTGTCTTCTCTACACTCCACATTAAGTGACGGTGTCTATCTCTAGCTTATTTCACTTATCCTAATCCCATCTAGGTCCACCCATGTTGTTGCCAATGGTGGAATTTCTTTATTACTGAAAAGTATTCCATTATGTATATGTACCACATCTTTATCCATCTGTTAAGTGATGTGCAAATTAGCTTTTGTGTCTTTCTCCCCAGTTCACACAAACCTGCTACCTTCACATGCCTGTCCTGTTGCCCAGTCCACGTGAATTGCTTGAAAC